GGCCGCAGCCTCTCTCAAATCCATTCTCCTGAAGGAGCTTGTGGATGGGCTGAGCTTCATCCCCCTTATAATGGGTTCCAAAAATCTCAAAACTCTGAAGATCATCCGCTGCCAGGGCAATTGGGATGAACTCTTCAAGGTTTTCAGCCATGGAAACGCCATGACCAGCTTGATGGAAGTTCACATTGAGAGGATACAGGTGAGTGATTATGGGGTTTCAGCCATTTCTAACTGCTTGAATTTAGAGATATTGCATCTGATCAAAGTGTGGGATTGTTCCAATGTGGGGCTTTCTTGTATTGCTGAACACTGTAAAAAGTTGAGGAAGCTCCACATTGATGGGTGGAGAATCAATAGAATAGGAGACGAGGGTTTAATGGCCATAGCCAAACAATGCCTTGATTTACAAGAACTTGTTCTGATTGGGGTGAATCCAACTTGTTTGTCTCTGTCTTCATTGGCCTCAAACTGTGTGAATCTGGAGAGATTGGCTCTGTGTGGGAGCAGAGTTGGGGATGAAGAAATTGCTTGTATTGCAGCCAAATGCAAGTCACTGAAGAAACTTTGCATTAAAGGGTGCCCAATTTCAAACATTGGGATTGAATCTCTGGCCTGGGGGTGCCCCAATTTGGCTAAGATTAAGGTGAAGAAGTGCAGAGGGGTGACTGGTGAGATCAGGGAGTGGCTTGTGGAGAAGAGGAGATCCTTGAGTGTTAATTGGGATGTGGAGGAGATTGATCACTTGGATGCGAGTAGCAGCGATGCTGGGAGTGCTCGGGAAGCCGTTCCGGAGTTGGGGCAGGTGGAGACTGGGGTCGAAGCTCCGGTTGGCGGGGACGGGCGGTTGACGATGTTGAAGACGAGGTTGGGAGTTCTGGCTGGGAGGAGTTTGATGGCCTGCACATTTGGAAGGTGGTCTAGTAATAGTACTGATTCAAGCAGTAGTTTATGAATGCTTTTGTTAAGTGAAGATTGATTTGTGGAAAGAATACATCTTTTGTCTCTTGAATTCCCCCTCGACAAACGTCAATCCATTCGTCCAAGTGGAAAATAAAACATCTATTACCTTCCTCCGAACATAGTTCAATGGATAAAACATCTATTGCTTTCATTCTTCTTCGTTCCCGTACGAATATGGAAGAAAGAAAAATTTTTGCCTGCTGCTCATTATCTATATATATTTTGTACACTAAAATTTGGATTTGGGTGCATAATTTTTATATTTTTCTTTTCATTTGGGACTCAATTTCAGTTCTAACCTTATGTATTGAATCTTTCAAAGTCATTTTAATGATCAAATAATTTGACAAAGTCAAAATAAAAGAAAATGGATGACAGAGACATGCCACCCACTTATAAAATTGAAACTCTCATTTCATATCATGTTTACGAAGTTACTAAACTTGAAATTGTTTGTTACGGGAAATTGACCCATTCGTATATTGGTTTTTTTTTTTTTTTATAATTTTTTATAAAGCCTATATCAGGTATTGTTTGATAAGGATTTCCTGTTTTGTTTTCTATTTTAAGAAAACATAAATGATATATGTTTGATAACTTATTTAAAAAAAAAAATCAAACATGTTCGATAACTTTAAAATATATAACTTTTGAGATAGGTTAGATAATGAAAAATCTATGCAAAGTAGAGATGACTAGGGTGTGTGGTAGGAGTTGGTCGGGGATGTTCTCTCTCATTCTTGTCCTTGCAAAAAATTTTAATCCCCGTTTTCACTTCACACTCCAATTTCGAGATCGAGGTTCAAGTTGAGAAATCCTAAAATTTTAAAAATAAAAAGAGTAATATATATATATATAGTAAATTTTAAGAGAATGAAAAAAAAATTAGGAAAAAAATTAGAGAGTAAAGTTTAGGGCAAGAGACATATTAGAAGGAAGAAAGAAAAATTATAGCGAGAAAAAAATTAAGACAAAAAAAAATTTCAAATATGTTTTTTAGAAAAAATAAATAAATAAAAGGAGAAATAAAAGTTAGAGTGAAAGAAAATAAATGAAAATTTTAGATGAAGAAAAGTTAGAAACATATTCTGAGAGAGAAAGTAGATTCCAAAGAGAAAAAATATATAAAATGCTAAATCTGAGAAGAAAATTAAGAAAAATATTATATTTTTAGAAATAGAAAAATGAGGGTGATATGTTAGATAAAAATATATAAAGATGAAAATTTTAGAAAGAGAGAAAAATAATAATAAATATTTTATATATGAAGATTTTTTAGAGAGACAAAGTAGATTTTTTAGAGGGAAAAAATTTTAGAGTGTGAAAGAAATTTATTAAAGAGAAATATATGAAAAGGAAAAAATAATTGAACATTGAAAGGAAGTATGATAGGATATTTATGTCACAGCCCAACAAGCTACGGATAAACCTAAATTGGGTTTGGAATGGAAATCAACAAGGAGACCAAGGATTGACAGAAAGTGACTCAAATCGGCTGAAGTCGACCTGAGATCGACGCAAACCAGTTTTGTCGAGAACACCCGATGCCATTTAGCAGTCCGAACTTACTCCAACCCGGTAAAAACCTACTATGAATCAACGACTCTTGAACTCGACATTTGGCCCACGACTAAAGCCTAGATGGGTACATTTCCTAAGGACATTAGAGTTTAGCTTCTATAAATAGAAGAACAAGTTAAATGCTAGAAGTACATAAGATATACCTGACTCTTTCTATTATACTATTCTAATTCTGACTTAAACATCGAAACGCGTGTGGCTATGATCACATCAGTATTTAGTGCTGTTTGGTTTTGCCGGCTTAGCTTTACAGGTTGGCGTCCGTTCTTGATTTCATTATTAATTATTGGTGCGAATTTGATGGAATCTCAACGGACCAAATTTCGTCATCAACGGAAAGAAGGATATTTTGTAAAATAAAAATCAGTGATACAAAAATTGCTTAAAAATTATAATATAAATTATAAATATTGGTTATTGATTGCTCTCTAGACCTAGCAATTTAGTTTTGGGAATTGCCGTGATACAAAAATCAATAGTATATTGTAAAAATTTTCATTCATATCAATAGTATATCAGCTACTTATATCAATAATATATTAGATTTATATCACATACATATACCAGTAGTTAGATATATTACTTATATTACAAATATTTACAGATGTATATCATTTGGGTAAAATTATCATTTTAAAAGTTGACATCTTTTATTTCTTAAAATATTATATTTGAAAAAACTAAACTTAGTTGCTATTTTGCTAAATTTACTAAATATTTTTGACATATTTGCAATTGTCACTTTAGTTTTATTAATACATGTATTTTCTATTAAAAAAAATAAATGAGATAATAAGGATAGTTTAGTGTCCAATTTTGATTCTCTACCCTTTTTCGCATTCACTTAATTAAAGTCAGATTTGTTTTTATAAACTATTTTTTAATTCTGCGATTGGTGAAAATTTTGGAAATAACGTTTAATATTTTCAATATTTTCCAAATTTTGAATTTGAAACATTAAAATATAGAATTGCGTAAAAAAAAAAAACTTAGGATCAATATATTATTTCACGTTATCAACTCATTTCATTTTTATTATAATTAAAACACATAAAACATAATATATTATAAACTATATAATATTGTAAAACAATATTATTGTACAAAATTGATAATATATATGTTAATAAATTAATTAATCTACCACCAATTTATAAATTATATGACTTATGTGAGTATCCAAGTCCGTTTGCATGCAACTCAACTAATTTCACGTAACAACCACCTAGAACATATATTGGAAAACACCAAAAACATGAAAGAGAACTTTTTTTATTCAGATCACCAATCAAATGCACTCTAAAACTTCCGCAATGACGTGACAAATATCTCAATTAAAATGAAACAAAACAAAATAACAATTTGCATTTTATTTTAAATTGTACACACCCCTAATGATTGGGTGGTGAATTTGGCATACTTCTAACAAGAACATCTGGAGAAGAAGAAGATGTATTGTATTGTAACCAAAACGAAAACGAAGCTTCCCATGAAAGAAGAATGGGATGATTTTTATTTCCTGGAGATGGCATCCTTGGCAGACTGGAGGGTGTTGGCGATGGCGGCGGCGGCGCCGGCGAGGACGCCGCCGCTGGTGGCGTAGGGGGAAGGATGGGACTGGGGGTGGACGTGGTGGACGATCTGCACATTATTCCTCTGCTCTTGCCCTTGCCCCGCCGACGTCCAGTACTCCACTGTGTTCACCCTTTTCTCCAACTGCCCTTGTCCATTTCCCTCTTCCTCTTCCTGAATTTCCATTCTCAAATTTGTAAAACAAACTGCATTTTTTAAGCTTCGACAACTATTTATGTTTCTTTTCCATCCATTTCTAATTTATTTTAAAACATAAATAAAATATATAGTTTTATTATTTTTAAATCTACCGCTGTTGTGTTTGATCTGTGAACTTTTTTTCTTTATTAAAAACAAAGAAATCGAAGCAAAAACTAGGAACATTACCTGAGCCCTAAGAGACCAAAATGACTTGACCTGTGACGTGAAAACTTAGGCCTCGTTTGGTAGTGTTATTGTTTTTTTTTTTATATAATTTTTCTTTATGTTTCTTCATTTTTAATAATAATAAAATAAAAATGAATTGCATGACTCCAACATCTATCTTCTATAATATTTTGAGAATGTTTCCAAAAAAAGAGAAACAATAAACATAATTAATTGCAAAATGTTTAGATTTTTTAAGAAATTTAAAAACGAGAAACTAGTTGCAGAATGCTTGAATTGCTCGAAAAAAATGGGACAGCGTTAGCGTTACCAATCATGTTTGAAAATCAATTTTGCTTTTAGTTCTCTGTTTTAAAAAATGATGCTTGTTTCTTCCCTATTTCTTTTTATCTTTTAATATATTTTTCGCATCTTTCTATAACACATTTGACTTCTTTAACTAAATTTTAAAAACAAAATTTTTTCTTTCGAAACTATATATATATTTTTTTGTTTTCAAAATTTGGGTTAGATTTTGAAATCGTTTTCACAAAGTTTGATAATAAGACAAAAGAATATACAGGTAGAAGTAGTGGATGTACGCTCAATTTTAAAACCAAAATGGTCACGACAGGCCTAAATTAACACAATGTAAACTTCTCATCCTTATTCTCAATTCTTCAAATATTAGTTCAAGTTGTTATTTCAAAAAACATTTTTACTCGTAAACTACGTATTAAATATAAAATTGAGAGAGAGAGAGGAAGAGACATGCCTTCTTTGCTTGCATATTCAACTTGATTTCCCCCCTTCAATAACCAAAATCAACTCAGCCCTCTCTTGTAAACTCAAATTTTGTATGTTCTCTCTCTCTTTCACAACATTTTAATATGAAGAGACTACAAATTTTGTTGATTGGTTGGTGTTGGATCACCATAAAATCTAAAACTCTGACCCAAAAATTATGCCCAGGGACAAGAATAGCCTACCTAAATTTGGTCCCAACACTTCAAACATTAGCCACCTATTTTTCGTTCTAAGAAATAATATTCCTATTTCATAAGTAAATGAAATATTTTTCCTTTCCTAGAGAATAGTGAAGTAAGAGACATCCCTTGGTTGATTTTCTTCCCTTCAATAACCAAAATCAGCTCAGCCCTCTCTTGTAAGAATGAAACTTTATATGCTTCTCTCTCTCTTTCACAACATTTTATAATGTGAAGAGTCTACAAATTTTGGGTCAAAGTTGGTGGTGGCACCACAAAATCTAAAAGCTCTGACTCAAAAATTATGTCTACTGTCTAAAATCACTCCAAATTTGAAACGAATAGAATATTGAAAATGCGACCAAAGTTTAACGTTGGTTAGACAATGAGAAGATCGTAGACATGTAAATGAATGATACAGATAACAATGAATATAGGAAGAAATTTATACTCAAAAGTCAAAATGCATAATATCGTACTATTGTATGAAATGTAGAGGGGTTCGTTGTCTTGGCAAATCCTCTAGAATGGTCATTTGACATGACTAAAACAATTCTTTTTAAGAGAAATCCAACTTTTTAGGATTTTCCCCCGCCCTATGATCTGCCATGAAAATACTTTAATTCAATCTGGTTGAGTATACAGATCCTATAACAGTTTAAATTATTGAAACAGAAAGTTTCAGATTTCTGCACCTGGATTGATTGCGTTTGCACTGTGGAATGCTGGATTGGAAAGTGAAGAATTCACATGCTGAAGAATAGTTCGATCCTTCATCAGTAAGTCATGAGGGGTGAACCACTGCAATGAACATCAGAAACACCTGAAATTCTCTGCCTGGGCGACAATGCTGTAATACCCACAGCATCAACATCAAGATTCAGGATATTTTTCCTCTTCTGAGTTTCAAAACTTGATCTCTCATCTGAAATCTCTTCAGCAGTCTCAGTTGTTTCCTTTGCTTCATTCTGAGTTGTTATTACCACCATTTCTTGAGCTTCTGCCACTACTGATGCATCATCTTCTCCAGCATACAGAATTCTCTTAATTGCACTCACAACCTATAGAAAAAGTTAGTCAACTCGAATTGAGCACAGAATTACAGAATTATCAACTGAAAAAATCTCAGGGTACTTTACATTAGAGTCCTGTATTTCACGACTCTGGCATAGAATCTCAATATCCCTTAATTTAGCAAAGTAAAAGTCTCTCTCCTTCTCAAGGCTGTCAATTGAAAGTTTCAACTCTGTGATCTGCATTGGTAATTCTCAATCTCAGCATTTCAGTTTCTAATATCCTAAACAAAAGGAATTCACATCCATATTGTAATTGAAGAAGAAGTACCTTCTCATCATATACTGCTGCTCCACAACTAGAGGAAGGCCTTGAAGTTTTCCCTGATTGATTTGCAGAGTTGACAGTAGCAGGAACTTCATTTCTTCGTGCATTATGAGAGGTTTGAGATCTGGAGGCAGCCATTGAACCCTTGGCTGAAGGTTGAGAGGCTGCAAATTTCTTGCTAGCTTCTCTCCCACCCTTGCAGAATTCTCTCCTCTCTAAAGCGTTATAACTGGATAAGAAACAGAGTGCCATTAAATACTGAAAAACAAATTCTAGGTTGAAAGTTTATACAAATTCAAATTGAAGTCATTGATCATTTCCTGAATATAAAATGGAAAGAAAATGGATGGAATTACTTGTGTAGAACTCCTCCATGGATCGAATCGCAGTACCACTTCATCCACTGCATGAACTCCAAATTATCAAGTGGCCTACCTTTGACAAGCTTACTCACCTCAATATGCTAAAAACATAAGGACATATAGAAGAAGAAGAGGAAAATTGAAGTTTCAGAACAACAGATCTTAAAATAGGTCAAAATCAAGATTGAAACAAACAAAAAATAAAACGAACGATCAGAATTGGGGAAATTAAACCTTGGTGATCTTGAGCTTGTTAAAGACATCCTGAAGAACCTTGTAGTTCTGGATCATTTCGTACTCGCTCTTAGCATCGAAATTGACCTTATGCATCGGCACCATCCCCGGATGAACCGCATCCATCAACTGGCACTGGACCGCGCCAGAGCAAGACTGCGCGACAACACAACGATTCGTCGCAAGAACATTAAATCGCAGCAATTTCACTAAACCGAGATCGAAAACCTAAAAATTCAAAAAGAAAATTTCAGCAAGAATCGAAGGGTAACCTCTTCAACTTTGGAGAGATTGAGGTGGAGAGTGGAGTTGATCCATGAAAGGATCTCAGATCTGCCGACGAAGTAAGCCGAATCCATGATTCCAATGCTCGAAGCCATCTTTCAGTTCTTGGAAACTCCTTTTTCTCAGTGAACTTGTTGAGAACTGAAATCGATTTGGCCAAAAGAATTGTTTTGGGATTTAATATTTGAAAGCTCACAACGGCTATTTGTTGTAGTGAGAGAAAAGTGGAGGGAGAAATTCAAAATTAGAGTGCAGCGGGATCTTTCTTTAATTCAAAATTTTGTAATTCTGATCCACGGAAATTATAATAATTGACCTTCGTATTTCTTTGAGTACCATAATAATAAATTAACGTTTCTGAATATCAGTAATTGTAAAAAATATACCATAAAAGGAAAATATTTACAATTATATATATATAGGGAGTGTTTGGCTGTTTCGCCGGTTTATTAAATCTGGATTTGTTAAGCCTGAGTTTGTTAAGTCTGTATTTGGTTGGTACAGAAAATATGTTTATTAAATTTAGGTTTGTTAACTCTGTGTTTTATTGGTGTTAAGTCTGTGTTTTATATTTTTTTAAGTTGAGTTTTATTTTTTTTAAAAAAATATAATTTGTAAACTAATTATTTAATTAAAATAATTTAAGTTGCATTTAAATTATTTAACTTTATTTTAAATAAGTCAATTTTATTATGATTAATTTTTAAAATAAATATTCAATTAACTATGAAAATACTTTTGAAGTATTTATCAAAGTTTAAAGAGTATACAAATTCATTAGACATTAATTTTATGGTAGAGAGAATGTTATCAACAATTTATTTGATTTTTCATATTTACTATCTTAAGTAAATTTGATTGCTTAATTATTCTAAAAAAAATTGATTACTTAATTATCATCAACATTATTTTTAAATTTCACTTATTTTTATTTGAAAATTATATTTTATTACAAAGTGAAAACCTTTTAAATAATACTTGTTTCAAAACTATTAACTTCATAAGTTAAAAAGAAGATATAAAATTAAAATAAATAATTATACAAAATTATAACGTCTTTTACAAATGTGATAGTGATAACAAAAAGTAAATAAAAATGGTANAGTTAAAAAGAAGATATAAAATTAAAATAAATAATTATACAAAATTATAACGTCTTTTACAAATGTGATAGTGATAACAAAAAGTAAATAAAAATAGTAGAAACGAAATGAACAACTATATAAAATAAAAAAAAACAGCTAGAAATATATATATAATATATATATTTTTCTTGGATCATTTGGAAAAAAACTAGAGAAAATATTGTCGATATATGAATTAATTAGTTATTACATGTCATTTTAATTAAATTGATTTACTTATTTATATTTAAAATTATAATTAATTAATTCTTTTTTATTTAATATATTTAATTAAAAAAATTAATGCATTATATAAAAGAGAATAAAGACAAAATGTACACGGTAACAGTAGAAATAAATTACTCTAGCAACTTGTGGTGGAATAGTATTTAGTGTAGCAAACCCTACTCCTCGTTTTGAAAATGGGGAACCAAACACCCCGCATATATTATATATATATCTCACTATGTTTACCTATTTTCAAATATATACTAATCTATTATTTTATTATTTTATTATTTTATATTATATTGTTTTCCCTAGATCCACTTATTTAATTTTATGTTTTGCATTATTTATTTATTTTATAAAAAAATATATTCTTGGTTCACTAAATTTGATGTTTGTTTATTTGGGAGTGAGATTTTTTAATTTCTTTTAGTTTGAAAAATAATTCTTTTTTGAACCAAAAATAATTTTTAATATATATATATATTTTTTGAACATTAAAAAAATACACTTTCCATCTTTGAAGTTAGAAAATAATTTTAAATGACTTTTATTAAATTATTTTTTTTAAGTTTTGGACCAAATAAATACTAGCATCAAATTTTCGGAACATATTTTGTTCCTCTATTTTTTTTATTAAAAATCTATTACGTTAATTAATAGATTTGATTCTTTTATTTTAGAGTTTTTACTTTTGTCCACCAGAGATATTTTTCTTTTCCACTATTTTACATTTGCATTACAATTTCCGTTAAACTTTTCTTTGATCTTCACCAAAGCTAATGTATTTATATTTTTTAAAAATATTATTTTCCCTCTTTTTTTTTTTTTAAGTTTCCTGTTCATCTCCTAAAATAAAAAAATTAGGATCCGTTTGGTAACGTTTCCGTTTCTTGTTTCTTATTTCTAATTTTCTTAAGAATTCTAAATATTTTGCAACTAACTGTGTTTCTATTATTTCTCATTTTTTTGGAACATTCCAAAATTGTATAGAAATTTTGGAAACAACCAAAACAAAAAATAAATAAACATGTTGATTTATCATATTTGAATTCATGGATATTTGGGTCATGCAACTCATTTTTCTTTATTAAAAATGAAGAAACAAGAACCAGAAACGCTACCAAACGAGCCCTAAGTTCTCGTTTTTACTAATTTTTTTTCTTTTGATTTTCGCTTAATGGAATCTTTAAAAGAGAAATTTGGTTTTTTTTTTCTTTTTTTGGGTTTTAGGGCACATGCATCATTTAAATATCTATATTTTTTATTTTTGAGAAATATTTTGAATATCTGTCTATTTTGATCGAAGTTGTGTAGTTGTGAAAGGTATATAATTATAATATTTTTAAGAAGTAATATAGTATTTGTAAATATTTTCAGAAAACGGTATTAACCTAAATAACCAATAAAATAAAATAAAATAAAATAAAAATAAAAAAATTAATTACTTTCGGATTAGAAGTTTAGGCCCACCACATTGGGCCTTAAGGTTTGATAGCTCAAGAGCTTGGCCCGTCCAACATTTGAAACTTCTTTTGTAACAGCATTACAGAATTCATATATCTATAATATAATATAAGGAAAAAAAAATCAAAATTTTTCATATTTAATTAAAAAGTTTTCGCTATATTTACTGATCAATATTTTTGCTACTTATTATAAATACCCAAAAAATAAGAGTTTTGTATTTTATATATTTTATGTTTTTCTATTTCTTTTAATCTTTGAGCTCAATATAACACATTTATTCTATTGATTTCGACACATTTTACCTTTTTGTATAAAGTTTGTGGCCCTAAGGTATGTTTGTCTTTGTATTAATGGAACATTTGAATTGTCCTTGATTTAGTTTGCCCGAAAATGACCTCTAGTTGCCAATTAAATTTCAAAAACAAATAAATAAAACGGAGTTTGTCAAGATAAAACGGAGTTCGTCAAGATTAATTTTTATATTTAAGAATGACATTATTCTTGTATTAAAAAAAAACGAGAATATGATAACCCTTGACTTCAAGGCAATTTTTAGGTTATGTTCTTAGCTTTTCCTAAGTTTTTCTTATTTCTATACTTTCTCTGCATTATTAAAATCTAACTTATTTTCTCGCTGTAATTCAATTTCAAGTTTAATGAAAACGATTTCTTTTGAGAATTTTTTCGTGTTCTCTTTTTCTCTATTTCTATTGTTAAGCTAAATTTCTTTTTTCAACCCTCCTACAAATTGTATTAGCTTATTTATTATTAAAACTACATCAGTCAGCACCTATCATTATCTGTCTTGATTGATTAAGTTTTATAGTTGATTTACTTGCTGGTCACTTGTTTAATTACATAAGCTTTAGTCTAATTCTAGATTAGAATAAAACGGAGTTCGTCAAGATAAAACGGAAAGCTTTTTAGAAATAAAGTACTAAAACAAAAGTCTAAACATATGATCTCTTACCTGTCAAACAAAAGTGGAAGTTCAAATTATTCAAGATTCTAGTATTTCATAGACATAGATAAGTGTTGGCCCTAAGCTCATAAACAACTAAAAGCGGTTTGAAATAAGAGTAGAACTTAGTTTGCATGATGTGGTGAACAATATGTCGAATGCATTAATTAACTAGATGCAGGTTCATTTAATTGTCAAGGCCTAAAGCAAGGAGTTGGATTTCCATATTCTGTTTTTTCCTTTGTTTTAAGTATTATTTCTAAAATTCTAAACTACTTTTAAGGTAAAATCGATTATTCATTCAAACAATTTATAAACTTATTTAAAAAGAAATCAAACCGTGTGGAGACGAACTTTGTGTACTTATAATTATTACTTGTGACAGTGTGCACTTGCACTTGACCCTCTGACTGTTAAGCCCAGACACAACAAATATATTTTTTTGTGCTCTTCCTCCTCTCTATATATATTTTTAAAATTTCTTTTTATCTCTTATACAAGTATAATAATTGTTATAGGTGAAATAAAGTCACGACTTAGGAATGAATTGCAAGAAAGCCCTATGTGCCAACCCTAGATCACGAAAAGCCCTTGAGGTTAGAAATGATCCAAAAAGTCGAGTCCTCAAACATAAAACTTGTAAGTTGTATGCACGACCCTTGTGTCATCAATCAAGTTCGTAGATGTAGACTCATGGGTCGAGCCCTAAAGGCTAAGCATCATGGGCTGACTAGCCCTAGGGGTTGAGCCCTTAGGGCTGTCCAATGAGCCGACAAGCTCATGAGGCTGACCCTAAGGGTGAGGCTCATGGTCGACCCTTGCTTGTGAGGCAAACCCTTATGCTAGCCCATTTAATCCTTTTTATGACCAATCTAGACCTCCAACTCGAGTCTTTCGGATTTTGAGAAACTCAAAAAGAAGAAAATATTGAGAAAACCTCAGGTTTTTCTGTATATAAATAAAGAGGGATAACCTTGTAATTGTTACATTACAAAATCTTAAGAATGGTTACGCTTAACACAAACCCGATTCTAACTTAAACATCAGACTATATGTGGTTAATACCACACCAATGTATAATCTCTTTATTTTTGCAGGTTCGATCGAATCCCTTTATTCAAGAAGAATGGTGCCAATTTGATTATTCTACTATGCTAAATTTACGCATCAACGATAATTAAATAATAGTCCCCGAGTGAAAACGGTCTAATTTAAGTGATATTGTGAAAATACTTCACATTCATGAAAAATAATTTTTATATCTTCCCATATCTCCGACAGGGGGAAACAAGGCAAAAGTAGACTACAAACAAAATTGATATATTTTCACCATACGATAAAAAGTACATCAATTTTATCATAATTAATTGTAGACCATTTTTCCAACGATATCTGTGATATAATATTCATCGAAAAAAAGTTATGGTGATTCGTATAATTGATTAGAAAAAGAGTTATAGATGATTCATTTCTAATTTATTAGTTAATTGAGTTGTCATGCACCATAAATATAACTTAACGGTTAAGATATTTATACTTTTTCTAAAAAGTTATAATATATGTTAACTTTAATATAGTTGTTTACTATTATAGTAATTGATTAATTTAGACAATATAATGTATATATTGATTTATACAATAATTCTTAACTAAGTATTTACGTACTTTTGATATACAAAGCAACATTTTTCTCAAATAAGAAAATATTGTGTTACCACCAATCATTGATATAAAAGTATATATGATTATACCTATAATATGATATGGTTACATAGAATTTGGATTATATTATATTCATGAATCTTTTATGTATGGAAAATATACTAGCCCTTCAAAACTCACATTTAAAAGAAAAATTATTGTTATCTTGTTATTTTAGTTGAGAGAGAAAACTTTGTAATTTAATCAAAGTATTAGGTTAAATTATAAGTAGCCAGGGTGTAGATTCCAATCTCATCCCCACATTACATATTGTTATATACTAAAATGGAGGTTAAATTACAAGTATTATTCTTTGAAATTTTTCAAATTTGTGTCCAAAGAGGTCTATAAATTCTAAAAATTGGTTGAAAAGTCTTTAACTTTCAAATTTGTGTCTGGGTCATTTTTTTTTAAATTAACGGATCTAATAGATATAAATTAAAATTGAATTTTGTGCCAATAGAATCCTAAACTTTCAATTATTTTATGTGATATAGTTGGATTTGTGGATTTTTTAAAATGTTAAATGGGTCAAGAACATATATATTACACACAAAATTGAACGTTTAGAAATCTATTACAAACTTTTGAAAGTTTAATGATCTATTAGATACAAAATTGAAAGTTTAGATACCTATATATCAAATATTTTTTTAAAGATTAGATACCTAGCTATTAGTCCTAAATCTAAAGGTTCATGGACCAAATTTGTAATTTAACCATGTACTAAACATTTATGGGACATTTCTATATACCTATGAGTTCAACAATGAGTTAATTGATATTTTTACTCAATTAAATATAAACTTGTTAATAAAATATAACCTTTTTAAATAAAACAACTGTGGGGATATGAGTATTTTTTAACTTTACATTAATAGAAGAAGTAGACATCGTTTATTGTTGAGGTATGTCCATATTGGCTAATAAAATATAATTAATGTAAACATAATATTAATAATATTATGGGTGAATTCTTAAAAAAAAAATGTTATGGGTGAAATTATCTCATCAAATTTCCATAAATTAAGTTAGGAAAGTGACATGGGTCAAGGCAGGGCAGCCAGGTCAAACCATCCAATCGGATCACCAACCATACTAGACTTGAGTTGCCCAGATCCTATCGAGTCGAACCAATCCAAGGAGGTTTTCTCTACAAATAAGAGGAGAGACTCTAGACGCGAGATACGCTCTTACAATTCTACTTTCACTACTCTCAACGAAACTCTTTGCTAACTTAGATATCATAGTATTGTATTGGGCTTAGTACCATATGAGAGAAACTCTTTGCTAACTTAGACATTATAGTATTGTATTGGGCTTAGTACCATATCGATGTGCATGTGTTTACTGAAACTATCGATATCAAAGACCGGAACCAAATTCCTGTGTCAACAAATAATAATAATTTTTATTAGATGCCTTAGTTAATATACGTTGGATTCATTTACCAAGGTAAATTAAAAGCATAGGCATGGAGTGGCAAGTGTTGAGAAATGTGTCAACATAGCGTACGCTGTGGTTTTATTTTCTGAGTTTTGGCTGTCAAATTTCTTACGTTGATGTTTGAGCTCCCATAAAGAATTGGGTGTCATTGTTTATTAGGGTCACAGCCAGGGGAGAAACATCCCCATATCACTTCCATTTAATGTATAACATTAAATTATTGATTCCCTCTTACGTTTCCCACAGCAAAAAGTGGTTGAGTGTTCTTGAAATTCTCATTCTTCTTTTCAAATCGTCAAACCCTTTGCCTTTGATCTTATCTTACTCATAATTCATAATTCACGCCCTAAAATTCACTCATTTGACTTTTCTCCATGTTCATGCTATTAGTGGGGTTAGGAGAAAGTAAGATAATAAAGATCACTCTCGACTTTACGTCTTCAACTGAAGTAAGCTCTCATAATTTTACTCTTGGTATCACCCTTAGAGACCTCGTATTAATAGAGATATTGTCTTTAACTTATATTCCATGAACTTCCCTTATCTTGCTAATGTCGAACTTTGGTCGTATTTTTCTAACAATTCTCCCATCGAACGAAGTACCACGGACCTCCCTAAAATAGTCATTCCATCCATGTTTCATTATGAGCACATCATCTTTGACCAGTTGCCACTCCTCTTCACTGGAGCATACCACATGTCGGATAGCTCAACGACAGATTTCTTGAGGCTCACCACTTTGTTCGACACAAAAGAATTCTACCCACATAGTTAAGTTAGAGGTATAGCATTGGTACCAATAATTGTTAGGGATAAGAGACCATCCTCTACATCTCCATTGGAATGATACTGTCCATTTTAAGCATTAGCCCTCATAGTTCTGTTTTTGGTATGATCTAAAAGACTTCATGCTTATGGAGATATTGTCCCTAACTTATATATCTAAAATCTTTTCCTTTTCCTAGCCAATTAATGTAAGACTTTGATTGCATTTCTCAATGATACTCACCTCGATCAAAGAACCTTTGGTGCGACTTTGGTTACATCCAATAGATTTGAAACTTGATTGAAATTCATATTTTTCCAATAAAATATGATCTCTCTCGATCTATTGACCCTATACATATCCTTGAGACAATTAATACATATGTCATACAAACATATAATTGTCACAATGGTGACCTATAGGTACTAGGACACTCGAGTTATTAAAATGAGCCCAAACTTTATTTCTTAATCTTTCATGAATAATTGTTTTTTGTATTCAATATTAACAACCATGAGAAGAGAACCAAAAATGTAAAAGGGAATTAGATTTATATGGAACAATTACTTGATGAATTAAACATAGTGAAGCAAAACCCCTGCATATATTGAAGATAAGAACCATACCCTTCCCCTTTAGAAGAATGACTCTCAATTGTCGTTGTATCAATTCATATATAATCCAACCTTAAAAGAAGGTTTGGATTATGGATACTTTGATAGATTAAAAAAAATGATGCAAAGAGAATTGATTTTTTATAAAGATTTGAACACTCACAAGCAAGTTCACCTGCCAACTCTGAATTAAAAAGGTGATACACTTTTTAATTAAGACCAAATATGATCAAATCATCCATACTTGACGGAAGCATAAAATACTTGAGCGACATATGATATTGAGAACTAATATTGATTCAACCCATCTAAAAAGAAGTTTATGAGCTATTATAAACAAAACGGGTTAATATGTCAATTAAATAGTTCAAATAGAATTATCTTCTACTTTATATTATTATAACTCACATATAAAGTAATTTCCCATACAAATAACTTATGATAATAGGTAAAATCACTATCCTCGAAACAAAGTTATTGGCCACATCAACAAATAACTAGTCACGTTAAAATTTTATTAGTCTTCTCTTCGCTAACAACAATGACACAATAACCAAAAATGTAATATTTTAACTAAAAAGTTAGTGGGCCATAACATGACAAATGCCAATCTATTCAATAGATCAATCACACAATTACAAACATGCATGGGACTACGTCAGTTAATAACACAAACACCTCCTCTACATTAATTTTCTTCTTTCTTTTTTTTTCCCTCTCCTTATATACCATAATAGTGTGATGACGTGGACAGGGTTGGAAATTTCTCCAAAACTTGCAAGGCTTCCTTCATGGATGGTCTCTTTTGTGGGGTTGGAGATGCACAACTATACCCTAACTTAAAGCACGACAACAACGCTTCTTCTCGACCCTCCACGTCAGCACGGATCGCCATGTCAGCCATTCTTAAGGCTCGACAGGTGTCTTCGACGGCAAGTCCAAGCCCTTGACCCATCTCGTCCAATACTACGACCTTCCCAGTTAGTAGCTCGAGCAATATCACCCCAAACGAGTACACATCCCATTTCAAGTTGGGCTTCAGGCTCCGAAGCGATTCTGGTGCGTGGTACGGCGACACCCCACTAATCGAGCTCGGGCTCGGCCCAGGACTCGGCCCAGTGACGAAGTCTTGGAAGCTATCTCGAGAAGTAGTGGATCGCTTACTCCCGAAGTTCCGAGTCGAGCCGCCCGCTTTGTAGCTGACATCGCCCAAGAAGAGCTTCTCGAGACCGAAATCTCCTATCTTGGGCTCCATGTCGTAGCCCAAAAGAATGTTGCTGGGCCTCAAGTTGCCATGGACGTGCTTCTTGTCGTGGAGATAAGAAAGCCCACGGGCCACTCCTTTGGCTATTCTCAATCGGGCCTCCCATGGAAGATGGCAAGGCGATGAACCCACTTTCCCTGAGAAACAAACAAAAGCCAAAAAGAAATGGTACAAAAGTTAGCAGTCACTGTACATTTATACCAATGAAACCGACAGAGGAGGTGAATTTTCCGGGAAAATGAAATCATTGCCGTTAAGAAAGGGTGATTTTTTCCGGGAAAGTGACAGGCAGAGGCAGAGAGAAAAAAAATAAAATACAATAGTCCAGAAAAATGGTTGACTTCGAAAATACCATTCAAAACAAACACTTCAGTTACACCTACTCCACCGTCAACTATTTATGTCCTCAGAAGAAACAGAGCAAGCGTTTTTACACTCATCAACGGTGGTCAACCATAGTTTTAAATATCCTCGACTCATCAACGTTCCCATCAACAATTTCATATATCTATGAATTTGACATCAATAGAAAGGATATATCGACATTTCTATCCCAATAAAAGAACCCACAAAATATAAAATATATTATAAACGAAAATATTTATTTGTTAATTCAAATACTTATTTTTTTAATTTTTACAGAAATATCATCTATATTTTCATTAAGACATCAGCACCAACTTTTAAAATCTCGCAGACAATATGGTTTTAAAACTTCTAATTTAATTCAAATCATAGTCAAATTGAAAATATAAACAAAATTTTAGTTGAAGCTAGACTGTAAAGAAGAAGGGTTTAGAGAGAGAAAGTAGAGAGAGAGAGAGGAACTCACTGTATCTCGCATTGGCCAAGCTGCCATTGGGGACGAAATCGTAGATGATGAGCTTCTCATCGGAACCCCAATAGAACCCACGAATCCGAACCAGATTCGGGTGTACCAATTTAGCAACAACCCGAATTTGGTTTTCAAAATCTTTGTATTTCTCGACGCCGCCGTCTCCGATCCGGCGGACGGCGAACGCTGTGCCGTCTTCCAGCACCGCCTTGTACGTAATGCTGGACCCGGTGGCGCCGAGAATGTACGCCGACGCCTTCAGCAGCGTCTCCAGCTCCAGCTCCTTCTCCCCGTCCACCGTCACCAGAGTTCCTCTGTTGCTCCCCTGTTCTCTCTGCGCCGTCGTTTCGTCTCCATTTCTACCGCCACCGCCTTCGCCGTCGCTGGCCTGATCGGAAGTCCCCTCTTCGTGATCCCCTGTTTTTCTCAGGCAGGACCACCGGGAGAGCCCTCTGGATTCCGACGACGATGAGGAAGAGGAAGACGTGGACCAGCTTTCTTTCGCTAAATTGGCTTCGTTTTTCAAATTGGCTTCCACTTTTTTGTTCTTTTTCTTCAAATTGTAGACGTAGAAGAAGAGGACGCACAGAATTGCGAGGCCGACGACGTCTCCGAGTACAATGGCTACTATTGTGGCCGGTTTGAACTCTGTTTTGCTCTGTTTTTCCGGCGAGGTGGTTTCTGGGGTGCTCGGGTCTAGCGTCTTCGGAATGGCGGCGATCGCCGGCGGCAGCGACGCTGGCGAGGAAGGAATTGGGCAGGGGCTCCTCGTCGGCTCGCCGCAGAGTTGGGGGTTCCTGGTGAAGGAGCTCGCTTCTTGGTTCATGAACACGTCGGAATCAGGGATTTGTCCGGTGAGATTGTTGAAGGACAGGTCAATCGTGGCGTTGGCCGGAATTTTCGCGGCGAAATCCGGCGGGATTTCGCCGGAAACTCGGTTGTAAGAGATGTTCAGATAACGTAAACTGTCGCCTCCAAAATCAGACGGCAGAGAATCATTGATCAAATTCGAAGACAGATCCAAAACCTGAACCGATTTAAACCCACCGGGAATCCGACCGGAAAAGTAATTTCCCTTCAAAGAGACCGCCGTGAGGTTCCCCAAATTCGCAAGATCACCCGGAATCTTCCCGGCCAGAGCATTGCCAGAGAGGTTCAGAACACGGAGATCTCCAAGCCGATTCACCGGCGACGGAACCTCGCCGGAGATCAAATTGTCCGACAAATCAAGAAACTGGAGCATGGAGGCGTTGAACAGAGTCCCCGGGAGAGACCCATTAAACGAATTGTTAGAAAGATCAAGAGATTGAAGATTTTCAATCAACCCCAGATCAGGAGAGACAGAACCCAGAAGCCGAAAGTTCGGGAGAGATAAACCCGTAACTCTAGAACCGCCGCCGCCGCCGCCGGCAGCGCAGGTGACTCCGCGCCATGAACAGGGGGTATCGTCAGAGTAATTCCAGTTCTGAAGCACAAAAAGGGGGTCCTCTAAAACGCCATATTTGAAGGAAAGCAAGAGAACCCCATCAAAATTCAGCCCATTACAGCAACACTGAAGAAGAAGAAGAGGAAAAAAAGCAAGAATTCTCCACTTCCAATGGCAGCTCATAATTTCTCTGTATAAAAATCCCTCA